GGTTGTCTGATTATACATTTTCAAGTTTGGATGCATTTGGTATTCATATTGGACTTCATTCTTCCTACACAAGCTTGCTTGATCTGCTGCGTGGAATCTTTAATCAGTACAAACCAAATCATTCATTCAGGATTTCTTATATTGTTGATGGTTGCCCCCTCCTGTTTTTTATTGTTGATGATGAATCTTTGAAATTCTATCTTTATATGAAGTGTTTGCAGTCGGATGTTGCAAAGTTACCACTATGTGTGGAGTTTAAGTCTGAAATTGTTTCTGTGCTTCATGACTTTGTACCACTTCATAACTCACTTGTACATGGTTCTACTACATCTTCATTGTCTTTGCATGTGAGTGACTCTGATTGTAGTAATCAAGGGAATGGGTTGCATAGCAGTTTGGCTTCCATTGATGAAGAAGATGAGTTTTCCTCTTCCTCAGAAACCAACATTTCATCCTCAACTATTTTGCCTAATTTTTCTGGTATTGGTTCCAAATCATTATCCTTACAACATGCCTCTGTGAACCACCCTGTTGACGTAATTAGTCATTATCATCCAACATGTGTTATGATTAATGCTATTTACACGAACAAGGCTGACTTACTTCATCATTTAAAGTTGTATGTCATCACCAACAATTTCCAATTCAGAACTCTGACATCAAGGAAGAAAGAATTACACATTATTTGTTTGGATCCGTCGTGTGAGTGGGCAGTTCGTGCAGTCAGATTAGATGGTGTACAAATGTTTGAGATTAGAAGGTATGTTGTCATGCTAACTTATATCTAATATTGTTTTTGTTTTTCTCATTATTTTTTTTGTATTATGTGATAACATTTTGTTCTTTGTCTTCAATTTCATTTATGAACAGTTATCTATTGTTATCGTTACAGGTTTGATGTTGTACACACTTGCTCTGTTGACTATAGGCAATTTAATAGTAGACAGGCAACATCTAGTGTCATTGCTAATCTTGTGGCACACAAATTTTTGGATGCTTCTGTTAAACCTTATACGCCAAAACAGATTAGGCATGATATGAATTTGGAATATGGGATTTCTATGTCATACAAGAAAGCTTGGGAAGCACAGAAACGTGCAAAGGAAAGGGCGCTCGGATTTGATGCAGAGTCATACCAGAAGCTACCTTCAATGGTCTTGGATGGAAGTTTAAAGCTGCTTATTCAGCAAACACTATGCAAGAACTTGAGGAATATTTGTCAATGTTGGACACAGAAGATGCTAGAATCCGACCTTGGTTAAGTAAAGTTGGTAACCATAGATGGGCTAAGTGTGTTGCTGGTCCACGCAGATATGACATCATGACATCAAATTGTGCAGAATCGTTAAACAAAGTAAATGTTTGTGCTAGAGAGTATTCAGTTTGTAAATTGGTTGATTTCTTGCGTGAAAGAATGCAACAGTGGTTCACGGAAAGAAGTGAGGAAGCCCTTAAAACATACACTTTCTTGACCCCCAAATTCGAGAACCATTCAGTTGCTGTGCAAGCTGAATCCACACACATGTAGGTTTTAGTGTTTTTCCTGTTTCACTAATAGATGTTGTAACTTATTGTCATAAGTGTTGTTATATTTCCAAATGTATTTTTTTGTTGCCATCTATCATTTTATGAATATGACTTGGCTTTTGTTTTCTTACATTCGTTATTTCGTAACTGTATTTTTTATATGTTTTCTATCAGGTGAAATCAACTTTATATTTCGAGTTTGAAGTCGTGGATCGCTATTATAGATCTTTTGTGGTTAACCTCAACCACAACACTTGTACCTGTGGTAGTTTTCAATTGGAACAATTTGTGTGTGCTCATGCAGTTGCTGCTATTCGTGTGCGCCCCCGTTTATCTTGCTATGACTTCATCTCACCATTCTATTCACGTGATTCATGGCTTTCGACTTGGAGTGCTGTTGTTCATCCCATTGTTGATCCACAATCATGGTTGCTTCCTCAACATGTTCGTGATCAGATTTGCAAGCCGCCAAGTTGTCTCAAAAGACCTGCTGGACGTCCTAAGAAGGCCAGAATTCCTTCTGTTGGGGAATTTCGTGGATCTGGATCTAAACGACAAAAGTGCTCTCGCTGCCATATTCTTGGACATAATAAAAATCCCTATTTCTATGCAGTGATTATACAGTTTTATCAGTTATACTTTTTTAGTGACAAACAATGTTTCTGCTGTTTTTTTTGTTTTGTAATAGAGCACAATAATAATGTAGAACGTTGGGAGAGGAGAGAATATAATGGGAATTGAAGTAACGGTTGTCCTTGCACTGGTTCTCGTACTATTTTATCTAGTCTTATCTTTTTTTTAAGGTTATGATGTATGTTCCATTTCCCAATGTCAGATGGCAATATTGTGTGTAATTGTTCAATAAGATGTTCATAATGGAAATAATTGACATATCAATAATGTTTGCAATGTATTATCATCTTTTTCTTTAACATGTATTAGGACTGCGAGTCCTTTGTTAATATTTTGGACGTTTTTACATTGATTTCAATAAAAACAAATATACCAAAAATACCCTTTTATGTTAATTTAACCTAGCTACTTTGTTTACATCAATGTCAATTTTTTCCCAAGCATAGTGTGTACTTGCTCTTTCAAATATTGAAAATTGTTATTCCTAATTATCTTATTTTTTTTAAGTTAACATGTTTGTTCCACTTCCAAATTTAGGATGGCAATATTTTATGTAATTGCTCAATAATGTTTTGAAAATTGAACTAATTGACATATCAATAATGTTTGCAATATGTTAACATTTTTTCTTTAACATATATTACGACTGTGAGTCCTTTTTTATATTTTCAACTTTTTTACATTGATTTCAATATGAATATATACCAAAAATACCTATTTTTGATGTTAATGTCATCTACCTAATTTGTTTATGTCAATTGTTTCCAAACATAGTGTAGACTTTGTTAGGAAATTGATGTAACGTACCTCGAAAGTACGGCAGCGGAAGTTTAAAATTTTCCCAAACAGATCTTCCCTGATTATGACAAAATAAAGAATATGATAATAATAACAGATCTGAGTTAGAACTTACAGATCTTCCAGCCTAGCGGTGATAATCCTTGACCTTTGGTATCCACGTGATTTCTCCTTTCTGAAAGAACGGTTAGATCTCCCTAAGAGAAAGGCTAGGAAATCTCTTCACAGGGAAATAAACTGGTAATACTGAATCTGAAAACTGGTCTATAAATTATGAAGGAGGAGGGTGTATTTATACTAGTTCTAAACTAGTTTTCCAATCACAATGAAAGTCTTTCTCATTAATGAGTTGCAGTCCTCATAGGATTAATACACATTAATTAATTAAATAAAGATATAATAATAAATAATAATTATATAAATAATACGTACATATGTTATGGAGAATAGGGGGCTGCTGCCACCCTTATTCTCATAACATATATTATTTATTATTATTACATTTATTTATAATTTCTTGAATATATTTTAATTCCAAATTAAACTCAAGAAATTACTAACTTTATTTAATTATAAATACATTTAATTAAGTAAAATAAATCTAATTTATTCTTCTTAATTAATTCTATCAAATAGAACTCTCCTTCAACTTCATGAATTAAATATGTTTAATCTAATTAATATTTAATCCATTTTCAGTATTACTAATTAAATATTATTTAATCCAATTAATAATATTTAATTTCTTCTAACAATTCAATCGGAAGGTATAATCACTTGTTGTGTGACCCATAGGGCCTTATATATTAAGCACTAATCAAATTAAGGTCTTAGTAGAATCCCTAGACGATTTACCAGACAAACTCAATATATAAGGACGTTTGCGAAGACTATTCAAACTCCTTGTAATATAGAGCTCATAGTGATACGGTCTTTTCATTCAGCGAACATTCAACTAAGTCTAGAACATGATATAGTGTCTATCCCAATAACTCAGTCTCTGTCTCTCAATCTTTCTAGATGATCCATAACGATCATATTCGATATCCAAAATGAATATATCTTTGCATTGGCCAATGACTTTATGATCCATCTAGATATAATCTTTCTTGGCTCAACTACTACTCCATGTGCTTCGTGATGCACCCAACACATGCCGTATCTACCCCGATTGGAGTGCAAGCGTTGGTCATGGTCAAAGTACATCACTCCGCACATGTAGTACGTATTGACCTCAAGTCGGAGGACTATTACACTACTCTATACGCCGATAATCCCATAGACACATGAATAGAACTTATCAAATGGTTTCTCGGTGGGTATGCCAATATTCTCTAAAATATCTATGTGACCATCATGAATTACATGAACTCATAGTTGTGAGATCAATTATACTTTCTAAAAGTATGATGCAGTCCACATACCAATCTTATCCCATATCATCAATATCCCATTCTTGATGATCATTGATCGGGGCTATTTTAGTACCTTATGTGATATCATATAAGCTCCCACTTACTTATTGACAACATAAGTCCAAGGGAACACAATTATGAATAAGATATTGACAATCAAAATACTTAATCATCAATGTGTAATACCGTATATATCAAATATATAAAACTGAATGTGATCAAGTACATATATCTCTAAAAAGTGATTGTTGCTAGGACATATATACTAACAGACTTGTTCTTTGAAATATTAAAAAAAATGTCTTCCCTAATTGTGTATAGTATAATGTACTTATAAAAAAAATCATACAGTATTCATACATTATTATAAATACATAACTTTCTATTCATTTTGTTTTCCTGAATGAAAAAATAAACATGGCTTTGAAAAATTATCAAACAGACCATATTGTTCTTCTACCAATCAGGAAAATATGCATTTTTGTGACATGGTTAAGTATTGCCAATAAATGCCATCTGTTCAATAGAAATAAGCTGACAAAAAAAGTGATGATAATAGTTGTCATTGTTTAATACTTGTAACTTTTCCAAAGTAATAGAAATAACCACAACCAGAAATGTCAAGCCAAACATACCCACTCGACCCCAATTACATATCCATTTAAGCAAAAAACAGTATTCCTTAACCCCACCATTTTACATATTTCTTTCTATTTTTTTTTTCTCGCTCAACCTTTTTTTGCTGTACTCAATCAACTCTAACACCATCTTCTTTCTGAACATCCCCATTCCATCAGCTGTCAGCTCGCATAAGTCCATTTCCATCATCAAGAATTCTGCAATTTTGAGTAAATACATTCCACAATTTCCCCTGTAACAAACAACCTTTTTTATATTAGTATTTTTTTATGTAATACAATTTCACATATGTAACTTATTAAGTCTTTTACTTACGATGTGTCTTGTTGTGGGCAGTCTGCAACACCCTCAATAAGAATCTCTCTCTTTCCCATTGGCTCTTCATCAATTGCTTCATAGACATTGTGGAAATCGAGAATTTTGGGTAGCATTTTTTGTAATACAATTTGAGTATTGCAGAATATCACGTAGTGAGTCACTTCTTCTATTGTTTGAGTTGTACACTTTAATCTTTCTTTCCTTGACCACAAACACCAACAACACCCAATGACTTCCGGTGTTCAATGGCATATACATGAAGTCACAATCTGCCCAGTGCAGGGAGAAGTTTGTTGCAGTTCCTAGAATGTATTGGGACAGACTTTCTTTGTCTGCTGCTTCTTTGAGTGTGGTCTTTCCATCTAAGATCATGCCATGCTCCTTCTTTATAATTTGTATAAAAAATGGATCTGTGGTTGAAAACATTTGCTTCAACTTGAAGTGTACTCTCTTCATTTCCAGATAGTACATCCCGACTTCTACATGTTGCAAAAACAGAGTTCATATCAGATGTTATTAATATATCTTTCTTTAATTATTTTATTTGAATAACAAACTATACCGTGTCTTTTAGCCATTGATGGTTTAACCACAGGTCATGCAACCAAGTTTTTGACTCTATCTTCATCATGTCCAAAACAAGCGGTTTAGTGATCAACCTTTCATCATCCTTCCTGTATCTTCTAGTCTCATCTTTTTCTTTCTTTGGAACTTTCAGAAGCCCAATCTGGAGGTAATCGCTGAATAGTCTGGTTTGTTGTTCATCAATAGGATCGGTTGGGTCTTCTGAGAAGGGTCCATAGATCACTTTACGTGGTGGTAAGAATTGCTCTTCTGCTATTTTTTTGGCCTTTTCCTTTCTTCTTCTTTTTTCGTCAGTTGTCTGCCCTGCTGGTGTGTACCTGACAGGAGATTTGGCAGTCCTCTTTGCTCTTTGAGTTTGTGTAGATGTTTCCTTTTAAGTTTCATAAAAAACAAACATTGATCAGTCACCCATTAAGTCATTATTAATTATAGTGGCAAAGTATAAATGACATTAATATAATATTTATAACTTTTCACTAAATTTATTGTCATCACCTGCACTTTGTTTCCAACTTTTTGGTTCACATGTTCCTTGTTTTCTCCAAACAGCTGTCTTTCAATCATGTCTACATTCATACACAAATCTCTAACGAATTGTGTATTTTCTTCACTCCAAACTGTATCAACATCTTCGTCATCTCTGTCATTTCCCTTTTTTCTGCTCCACTGTTAGTTTTTGTCTGCATAATTTAATAAAATTATTTGCTATGTCATTTTAGTGCATTTATGATGTTATAATGTATGACAGAATGCAACTATTGCCATTTTGTGGCAATTATGGTATTGTATTACCTTTTCATTTTCTTTATAACCACTTCTGTTCAACCTTGCTTCTTCTTCCTTATCATTGATCTTCTCCTATAACAAACAATCATTTCTTCTCTATTATATATTAAATACAATTATATATATTTAAATCCAATGGAAATTTAGTTGCCTTTTTTTCTCAATTATATATTAAATACAATTGTTTCACATAACAAAATATGACATGTATTACCTGGACCTCTTCTTGGGTATCTCCTACAGTGCTTTTACTTCCATTGCCATCCATGGCTATCTGTTCACCATTCTTATTCTTGTCCTATAAAACACATGTCATGCATTGAAACCAATGAACAATATAAATTTGAAATTAATTAATTTATCATTACCAAATCAATATTTTGCTGTAAGACCCCTTCATTCTCACTGCTTCCACTTTCTTCTGTTTCTGCTTCCATATTTGATATTTTAAAACCTGGTCCACTGCAAGGTGTGGGGATGACTACATTGTCTGTTGCTTCATCCTGGACTTGTGGTTGTTTTGGTGGTTCTTCATTTGTTGCTTCTGCATCAAGTCCATTGTTGTTGATACTTTCAGTCTGCTTTTCACTTCCAGCCTTGTTGCCATCCATTAGTTCTTCAGCTCTAGATGCCTTTCCTTCTGTATTCATCTTCTTCACGTTCTTTGAAAGTTCCTTCACCAACTGAATCAGCTTAGTTAGCATCACCTCCAGATTGTTTTGCTTGTTCTTCAAATCCCTTAACTCTGCCATCATCTTGAATATTTGTTTTACTTGGTGGTCAAATCTCCTCAGCATCATTTTCTTCACTCCCCTCTTGGAAGTTTCTTCTTCACTTTCCTCATAACTCTCATCTTCATCAGTTTCCTTTGATGCTTTCCCTTTACTTGCTTTAGAGCTGCACTCTGGTTTGTCTTTATGTGTTTTCCCCTTTTTGCTTGCAAACTTACCCTTTTTGGTGTTAACTACAACTTCTTTTGTTCTCAGTTTGCCATTTCCCTTTGCTGCCACTTGTTCATTCTTCCTCTTTTCTTTTCCATCTGCTTTAATCACCTGCAGTAATCCTAGTTCTTCATCTAGTAACCTTGCTTCAGCAACACCTTGAATATTTTCCATCTCTTGTGCAGTTGGCACTATGCTCTTCCACTCAAACTGTAAACACAAAGCACAAATATTTCTACATTACACATTTCTTCATTTATTAAGGATAAGTAAATTTAAAAACATATAAATTTCAATTACCTCATCATTATCAAATATAAGATCACAGAAGAGTTCCATGAATGGCTTTTTCTGGAAAGCCCATTTCAGTGTTCTTGGGATCACATTTTCTCTGCCTTCAATAATGCTGCACAGCCCTGTGTTAGCTAAAATCGATAATGTTTCAAAAGCCCAGATTTGAAGTACATGCATGCATCCTGGGAATGCAACTCTATTTCCTCCACACACGTTCAGTGCCTGTGCACTTCTATTGACGTTCGTAACCAAGTCCTCCCACACATCATCCCCTCAAGGATATACGTTGAAGGCTTCAATATCATGTACTAACTTTATGTACTTTGCTGGTAATGGTCTAGACATTTGGTGTCCCAGTAAACCATGTACTAGCACATAAAGCAGTGCTAACTTCAAACCATCTTCCTTTTCTATGTGTGGATCACCATGGTTATAAGCCTCCAGAGCACTTATCACATCTTGTCTCGTAATTACTTGCTTATTTCCAAAATGCCTTCTACAGAAATTTCCTTGTAACTGAATATCACCTTATAACTGAACATTTCCTATCGTTCTGTCACCACCAACCTTCAGCCCTAGCAGCAACGCCATATCTGATCTGGTAAAACTTATTACACTGCTTCCTATGTGAAACCTTATCACACTAGTTTCAGCAATGTTGTTAAATTCCTCAATATAGCTCCCTGCAAGTGCTATGCACAACTGGCCACTCAACCTTGGCATCTGTTCAATGTCAAGCATCCATCCAAAAACTGTGTTTTTGAATGCTATTAATTCCTCTTCACTCAGTTGCCCTTTTATTTTTTTTGCTACTTCACTTAGATTGCTAATGACATTTAGCCTCAACTTGTCCAAACTTCTAAGCAGTCCAGTTTCATAAGTGCGACTGATAGTCTGTATTTAAACAAATTTCATTACTATTAAATATTTTCATTCATTCAAAACAAAATCACAATTTGAACATTTGGCACTCTTACACATGGTTATTGTAAAACATTGCCTAATTACACATTTGAAACACTAGTATTTGGAACTTTTGCATGATTGAGATAGTCTAAAACATAGCAATATTAGAAATCATTGAGGTACTCAATAACTTTTATTTTTCAGTAAAAATTTTATAACAGTTATTTTTGGCACTTTTTTCCATAAAACAGGCATTTTGACGCAATTCTTCTTCTTCAACTAATTGATTCTGTCGTGACACATCTTACAACTCTAACATTTGTCAGTTTTTGCCACATTACAGTTACTTTGCCATAATACTTCTTATTCACCATATTGACTCTGTCACGACACATCTTTCAATTCTATATTTGGCAATGATTTCAAACTACAGGTACTTTGACACAACTATTCTTGTTCAAGTCACTGACTTTGTGATGACGCATCTTTCAACCATAATAATTGTCAATTTTTTCCATAGTACAGGTAATTTGACAAACTTCTTGTTCTTCAAGTCATTGAGTCTCTAATGACACACCTTGTACACCTAACATTTTTCAATTTTTTCCATACTACAGGTACTTTGACACAATTCTTCTTCTTCAACACATTGACTCTGTCATGACACACCTTGTACGCATAATATTTGCCATATTTTTCATAATTCACCCATACTCATAGAATATATTATTATTCATAGTATGCCAACATTAACATTGACAACGTTTGCCCTAATTTAAATACTATAAAACATGATTTAAGTATTACAATATGAATGGACAATAACTCTCTCAAATCAGTGACATTAATACACTTATTACACATAGAATATAAACATTACAGATAACTTTACAACACCTACACAATACATAGCACGACATGCACACAACTTTCATTACATTTACACTTTCTATTGTCAATGATTATTTAAGCATTACAAAATTCATAAATGGACATGATTAACATCGCTTTAACACTTATATTTCTTCTATAGTGAGTACAACATACAACTTCGTTGTTGATTCTGACTTTTTGGCCATGTGATTGAAAATCCGAATCAGCCATGATATCTGTTGTTCTTATCGCGAAGTTTGTCCTTTTTCAGGCAAATATCGTCCTTCTGGCCAAGTTTTACTCTATAATCTGCACTTCGTCCTCTCTATGGCCAAGTGTTGTCGGTTTCTCTCTAGTGTTGTGCGCTGTTGGTTGTGTTCTCCAGGTTCGCGCTTTAATGGAGGCAGTTGTTATTTTACGCGAATGGGAGAAGTTTTGCCGGCTTCCTGTTTTTGTTTTTTTTTAAATCTTCCTTTACCTATGTAGCCGGTTACTTCCACCTTTTCAGCAAATCCGCGTGATTTCAAAACGGTAATACCTTTAGCTTCATTAAGGTCATTATGGTCACTTGCATATAATTTCCGTGTCAAACGTGGTTGACCAAGTAAGACTCCTATTTTGGAATAGGTTCTATGATCTACTCCCATATTGGTAATTTACTCCCATATGGACAAGTAGAAATACACCTAAAGCCTTGGCTCAATAATAACAGAAAGAGGGAACTTTTTTGGTGTTGAAAGCCCAAAAATCTCTTCCATGTTGAGCTCATCAGGTGTCAAACCATCAGGCAAACTCCACTTGAATACATGCAAGAGGTTAGCCAAAGTAGCTTGAATAACCTTGAGCCCGAGACTGTATCCGGGGCACATTCTTCTCCCTGCACCAAATGGGAGTAACTCAAAGTCTCCGCCTTTTACATCGATGTCCTTCCCGATGAACCTATCGGGAATGAACTCGTTAGGATTGTCCCACAGCGCAGGGTCCCTTCCAATAGCCCAGACGCTCACGAGGACTCTGGTGCCTTTGGGAATGTCGTAACCGGCAACCTTTGAGTCCTCGCGGCATTCACGTGGAACCAACATAGGTGCCACGGGGTGCAATCGCATTGTCTCTTTCACAATTGCTTGAATGTAGGGAAGTTTTGGCATGTCTATTTCTTCTACCAATCTCTCCCGCCCGATCACTCTGTCTAATTCTTCTGTTGCCTTTTCTAATATCTCCCGCTTCTTCAGCAACTCTGAGACTGCCCATTCCACCGTTACTGCAGAGCTCTCTGTTCCACCAGCCAATATGTCCTGCAGTTTGACAAAACGTTGCGTCATTAAAAGGGTTCTTAATCCTCTACTTTAAACAAAATGTAAACTACTTCGTGTGACTTTATTACTCAAATGTACTATTTAGGGGGAGGAAATTTGGCCAAATAGTTGTCACTCGTAAAATATTCCAATGAAATTAATATATTTTGGAAAAAGAGAGTTCTAAATATCATCACAAGCCGTTAATGTCGTTAATGTATGTGGTTCCATCCTAAGAGGTCAACCTTCTTCACAAGAGGTAACTCAAGACATGTTCAATTGTTTTAGATATATCCAATGTGGACAACAACATAAACAAAATCTACAATATCTTCTTTAATAACCTGTGTGAAGCCCTTGATTCCATTCCTCTCGAGCTTAACTTCATTGTTAGGGTCATCAGCAAGCTGGAGCAAAACATCCACCATATCCATGGCCTCAAACTCCTCCCCCTCGGCTGCCCTCCTACTATCATGTTCATCAAGAACGTGCTCCAGAAACCTGTCAAACTTCTTGCTCAATGCCTTCATCCTCTTTATGTTCCCCTGTAAGTCCAAGAAAGCGATCCATGGGATGGAATCTCCAATATCCAACACCCCATTGAGCAAGAACAACTCATCTATCATCTTCTTGAATTCATTAGGGCTCAATACAGCCCCTGCCGACTCATTTAAGTAACTCTTCCCCAGCACCATCCGGCTGATCACATTCAAGCTCAGGGTAGACAGGTAGTCCTTCAAGATTAGCGGTTGTCTTGGGTCCGATGATGACTTTTTGTGCAGCTCGGAGAGGATGGATTCCAGCTCCCCCGTTCGGATGTATTCATATGAGTTGAGACGCTTTGAGCTGAACAGCTCCGTCGTGCAAATCCGCCGCGCTTGCCGCCAGTACGGGCCATATTCACTCCAAGTGATATCACGATAGTTGTACGTTGTGTACTTTCCGGCGGCGGTTTGTGGCCTGAATATGTTGATGTGTTAAAGACTTATTGTTAAGGTGGTACAAAGAAACAACGTGCAGTGACTTATGGTTAAGGTGGTTAACGACTTATATTCTACACACACTTTTCAAAAATAGATACGGAGTATTTAATTAATAATGAGGTGTTTGTAAAACGGCATTTTAGCAAAAAATGATAGTTTTATCCCTTTTAGTGTTTTCAAAAAGTAAAAGCGATGTTTGGTAAATAGTTTTTTAGCATTGACGTTTTTGAACGGCGCTGTTAAAATTGAAACGTTGGAAATAACAACGTTTTGGATTAGAGTTTTCAAATATGATAGTTTCTACTAATTGTTATGGTTAAACAACTAAATTATCAAACATCTTTTTAGAACACGCCAACTTATTCTGTTAGTCAAACTCACTAACATTATTTGCTAACCGCTAAATATCAAACAAATATATGTTACTCCTATACCTTACAATCATTTTCTTTATTTTGCGTTGAATTGGTGCTTTTATTTCGAAACAAATTGGTTGTGTAGCAAATCTAGTCATACACAACTAATTATAATGTTTTTAGTTTGACTATTTTCAGTCTCAGACAGTTCATACCAAACCAGATTTGGATAGTACGTTATTGATGGAATTTAATCCAACTACGAGAGCTAAATCTACCAAGATATCAAAATATGACAACGTAAGGCAGTATTATTATTATTCGGAAAAATGATTTACCGATCCCCTCATAGGGTATTTATAGGAAGTATTTATAGACTCTAGGAGTTAGTATTCTAGGAGGAAAATACTACATTAAATGCTAATAATTAACGAATTATTTTGGAAATAAATACATATTTATGACTAAAATAAAGATTGTTTACAAATATGTGACCAGTGACTACAATAGTAATGAAGTCAGGATAATTTATATTCAACTTTTAAACTTAAGTTGTCATGACACTACATTGTAGTAACTACTGATCATATTTGTGTACATAAGTTTTAGTTTAGTAATATTTTTTGAAAGAACTCATTATTTCGAGCAAAATTTCGAAGTACATAAGTTATTGAAATAGTTTAATCGTTACAACCGTTGGTTGACTCATGAAATTTTGAAAAAATCCTTATATAGGTGATAGAGTATATCTAGAGAGAAGTGAGAGCTAGAGAGAGAAGTGCAATAATATACTTCAATAGAATGATTTTGTAACCCCTATAACTACTCCCAAGGGGAGTATTTATAGAGAAAATACGGGCTGGACTCCAAAGGCTTGGGCTTGGGAGGCCCATTTACAACTGGACCGCTACTGGGCCGAATACAAAGCCACTAATGGGCTGTACAAATAAGTAAGTGTAGAATCCGGTTCTGCGGAGTCTTCGTGGCCGACGAGGGCATGGCCGACGAGGGCACCCGGGTTCCTTGGCTTCAGGACCATAATCTGAGTTGGCACCTTTTCGGCCGACGGGGGCATCTTGGCCGACGAGGGCGCCACTCTGTGTCTTGTGCTTTCTGTTCTTCCGAGTATGTGGGTCCGGAGGCTCAGACCCATATACTCCATCAATAGGACTAAAACGTAAAGAAAGTGCACATATAGGACTATCTCATTGTTTTCTTTATAAAATAAGAATTATTTATTCCTAATAAGGGGGTTTATACTTTTAATAAGATCAAATAAGTCACGAGGTCACTTGACTATGAGGTGCTCGAGGAGTTCGAGGAGGAGATACAACATTTGAGTCCTTACAAATCCGAAGAGCTGGTGGACGATGAAGTCGAGGACGAGGAGTCCGCCTCTTCTTCCAGGGGTGAGGACGCAGGTGCGTCCCGAGTGGTGGACGGGGCGTCCACTTCCGCTGTCATTCCCTGCCCGAGGCCGGTGTCTGCCGTGAAGGGAGCAGATAAGCCGAAGAGGGTGAGGAGGCCGAAGAGTGGGCCGGGCCTCTCCTACCTGGATCTCACCAACATCTTTTTTATTAAGCCGGAGAGCAGCGCGGCCGACTATCTTGTTGCCCAGATGTATGTGGGGCCGTTTGGGCGGGTTAGGGCACCTAGGCCGACAGACCATGTTCTTCTTCCGCCACCGGGATACTTTGGAGTATACCCGATGAGTTTCGCTAAGGGGTTGAGGTTCCCCCTTCACCCTTTCATCACTGAGTACCTGGACATGGTAGGACTTCCTCCGGCCTTGCTGACGCCGAACAGCTATTCCTTGATGGTGGGCTTTTTACTCCGGTGTGAGGAGCTGGGCTACAGGCCGACAACGGCCCTATTCATGAATCTGTACCAGATCGGCCGAGGAAGCCACAAGAACTGTGCGGCCTATGCTACTCTTCAACAGCTACCGAAGAAGAGGAGCTTCACGGACTTGCCTTCGTCCATTCATGGGTGGAAAAACAAGTTCGTTTTTGTATCCCTGGGTGAGAGTGGCACCGAGTTTCCCTCCCTCGGCCATACCGGGAGGTTCAATCTCCATGACCCGCCGAAGAGCTCTATCTTAGATGCTCAGGTGGAGGCTTTCCTGGAAGGGGGGCCGAGGAGCGTGAAGGACTACATTACTGAATACAAGATGACCGCCCTCGGCTTCTTTAGATACCATGTGTATGGTGATAAGGAGGATGACCTCCAACTCTGGCCGAGGATGACCACCACCTTTGAAGAGGCCGACGGCCCGGATTTGGGCATTCCTGCTGAGGCCGATGGTAATTATTTCTTCGGCTTTCTGTCTTTATGTTTTGTTCCTTTGCCTTACTAATCTGTTGTGTTTTTCCTTTGTAGATTTTGCGATGGATCGTCGGTCCATAATGGCTATTGCCAAGGCCAAAGCGGCCGAGGAGTTGGCTGCTAAGGCGGCCGAGGCGGCCAGACGTGCCGCGGCCGATGGGAGCGGGGCTACTACTGGTGCGGCCCCAAAGCCTGCCCCATCGAAGAAGAAGAGGCCGGCCACTGACGGCCAGAAAAAATTAACTGAAGCCGGCCTGAATGTCTCCAAGAAGACGAAGAGGGCACCGTCTCCTTCTCCGGCTACCGAGGCCGATACTCTGACTGTCCCGAGCGTGGACGATGGTGATCCTGTCGTGGACCTTACTGCTGCTGGCGATGCTGCCCCATCGCTTCCTCTCGTCCAGGAACCACGGACGAAGAGGGCCGGCAAGGAGATTGCCGGTGCTACCTACCAGAAGATGGTAGAATACCCCGTCGGCGGGGGGGTGTTCGATGATGTCGTCCTTGGCCATGACGTCCTGGCCCAGGCCATGCCGGCCAAGGATCGGCTTACTTGAAGAAGCTCGGGGACGTGAAGATTTACGAGGGCGGCATGGACCTCCTCGTCCAAGTAAGTTACTTTCCTTCGTATGTGTCGTTTTTTCTCGTCGTCCGTGTAGAGTCGTTTGCCTGAATTGTTTTCCTTGTTCTGCAGAGTGCCTTTATGCTCATGGAGAGCCATAAAAGGCAGTACCGGGAGATAGCTCGCTTGAAGGAGCTGGAGCAGAAGGCTGCCTCGGCCGACGAGGCGGTAGCTTGCCTGGATCGGCTCCGGGAGGATGCCAAGGCTCTGCAGCAAAGGGCCGATGAAGCCGTTGCAGCCAGGGACGATGCCCTGGCCAAGCTCGAGGAGAGAAAAAGGGGGCTCGAGGAGACCCAAAAGGCGCTGGAGGCCGAGCGGCGCAAAAACGAGGAGGTCGTGAAGGCGAAAGCTGAGGCCGAGGCCGCCGTTGTGAGGGCTGCTGATGAGGTCGTTGAGAAGTTCCTCGCCGAGGGTTGGAAGGCCGATGAGAGGCTTCCCTGGTGCTACGAGGTGGTGGCCGCCAGGCTTGAGAGTTGGGGGATGAACTCCCCCGCCGGCCAGGAGTATTTCAGCAGAGAGATGGCCGTGTATTATAACATGGGCCAGGAGCGGATGCAAAGGCTCCTGTGTCGGCGGCTCTCTCGTGCTTTGAAGGCCATGAATTATACGTCTGGGTGGGCTAGACGGAACCTGAAGCTTCCAAAGCTGATGAAGGATCCTGAAGAGCAGGCCAAGCTTCCTTTGTCGGAGCGGGAGTCCCCTATTGAAAGCTCCGGCCTTGGCGAGCCGGATTACACTGAATTTGATTTCCTGGACGATGCCACCAGCGCTGCAACCGCTGCCGGCCAGGAGGCTGAGGCCGATGAGGAAGCCGACGAGGCCGAAGAGCCAGCCGCGGATGGAGGTGCCCCAGAGGCTTGATCGGCTACTTTGTAATTAGTTTTTATTTTTGCCCAGATGATGTAACGGCCGAAGAGCCCACCTTTGTACTGAACTGATTATAAATGAAATTTTTTGCTGTCCTTCTCGGCTTTGAATTCCTTGTATGCTTGTTTGCCATTTGTCATTTCAATTCTAAAATTTGTCTAAGTGTCAAGGTCACCACTTGGGTCACCCGCGAGTGTCCGCTACGTCCGTGAGGTCGTCCTCCCTGTCCGGTGGCCTGGTCGGCCTGTTCATCTTTGCTTTATTACCAGAACACTTAGGAATTTTTTCAAAAATTTCCTAAGTGTTTTGGGTCCACGTAGTTGCTGTCTTTCTGGCCTGGTGGCTTGATCGGCCTGGCCGTCGTTTCTTTACTACCCTAATATTTAGGATTTTTTCAAAAATTTCCTAAGTGTTTTGGATTCTTGTAGTTGCTTCCCTTCCGGCCTAGTGGCTTGATCGGCCTGTCCGGTGCTTCCTTACTATCATAACACTTAGGATTTATTCAAAAATTTCCCAAGTGTTTTGGATTCACTTAGGTGCTTTCTTTCCGGCCTGGTGGCTTTGTCGGCCTGGCCGTCGTTTCTTTACTACCATAACACTTAGGATTTTTTCAAAAATTTCCTAAGTGTTTTGGATTCACTTAGGTGCTTTCCCTTCGGCCTTGACCGTGGTGTCCGCTCCGTCCTGGCGTTGGATTTCTTCTTTGTTGTTAGAATTTTTCCAAGTTTCTAACTTCAAGTGGCTGAGCGTTCTCATCGTCCTGGCCTTGGATTTATCATTCTTGACAAATGCTCTGGGAGATTTCCC